TGGGTATATATATGTGTGTATATGTATACATGTATGTGTATGTGTGTGTATGCATGTGTATGTATGTATATGTATATGAGAATATATATATTTGTATATATATATATATATATATATGTGGACATATGTGTATGTGTGTACATGGGTATATATATGTGTGTGTATGTAGGTACACGACTATATGTATGTATGTACGTGTATATGTTATTTTGTATGTGTGTATTCGCATGTAGTTTTGAACATAGAAATATAGGTCCTTGCTAGATTAGATAATCGTTATATTTATTTTTTATATGTTTATATTTGATTTGTAACCTGTAGTCGATATTAATTTTGTCAAATTTTCACAGCGGCCCTTTCAGTAAATGCCCTTCAATTTTAGTTTCCCCCGCCCCATCTCTCTCCCCTACCCCTTTTTCTTTTCTTTTCCTCTCCCTTCGACTTCTGATCTATAAGATTAGACCGTCTATTGTGTGTGTATGTCACCACAAAATGTATCATTTCCGGTTACATCTTTAATGTATTAGACATCCGACAACATTCATATTTTTCTCGCTTAAACCTCTTCAACTCAAGTCTATAAAACTTCTCTCTGTTAAGTTTAATCTCCCACCTTCTCTCGTCTATTACCCCTCTCTTTAGCTCTAACATTCGTCCCACACTCTCATACTTACACTCTCTCTAAATTCTATTTTTTATTTCCGGTTGTTTTTTCTGTTTTCTTTTTGAATTTGTAGGTCTGATGAATTGGATCGTATTTACGATTCCAATGGAATAAATTATGACCATGGAATATTAGTGTTTAAGCCTTTTTATTATATATATATATATATATATATATATATATATATATATATAGAGAGAGAGAGAGAGAGACAGACAGACAGACAGGGACAGAGAGAGAAAGATAGATTGATATATAATTTATAATTTAAATAAGTTTTTTTGTCTTTTCCTATCTATTATTAAATTCTAATAATAGATAGGAAAAGACAATATCTATAAGGCTTTTTTTAAAAGTAAAAGCTAAAATAAAAACAACCGGTTTCGTCCCAGGACCAAGTTTATTTATTCTGGGAATTTAAAAAAGCGTCTAAATTGATTTTAAATCAACGAATGGAATGGGGAAAAAAATTATGAATTTCAAGAAACTAGAGTCCAATAATATTCAGACCCAGCAAGCATTCCTTCTGTTTACAAAGGGAAGGGTCTCGGGATCTGATATACAAGGACTCTAGAACCTTGAGGTGAAATGTGGAGTGGGACCTAGATAAAATCAAAACACGGTCCGCACTAAAATTCCTCATTTCCTTCTATTTATTAAATATTCAGCAATAGCAGAACCAGAACTGTTAGTTGGCTATTCCTGGAGGACGGATTCAAAATCCTGGGGAGGGGGGTAAATGCTGTTTTATTCTCGAATCCATATATATATGAACGTATATTTGGGCATCAACCTTTCTTTTAATCATATTTCATTAAATATGGTAACAAGGAAAATTTAATTAATTTTTTATATGATTTTTCCAGCATCCCCATGTTTTCCTGTTTTTTAGGAGCAAGGGGTACAGAAATCTTTCCTAATTTTTATTGTCCGGACACTTCTTTAGCAATTTTCAAGTGGGGTTTCAAGGGGTTTATATAGAGATACAAATGTAGTGAGTCTGATGATGGCATAAGTGTGAAACCCAGGATCACAAATTCATCCGTCCAACTGAATATGTTAGCTCTATCATTGATATTGAGCGCTTTCCACTAAGTACTCCACATACAATATATATATATATATATATATATGTGTGTGTGTGTGTGTGTGTGTGTGTGTGTGTGCGTGCGTGCGTGTGTGTGTGTGTGTATTTAGACAGCAATCCTTCTTTCATGCACATTTCATCGAATACGACAGAGAAGGTGCTTTGATTTCGTTTTTATAAAATTTCTCATGTGATCTAATAATTTTTTGCGGGTGATAAATTATATAAAAACTATCCAATTGATCTTTTTATGCGAACGCTTTCGGCTATACATTTAGCCATTTTCACGGTTATATAGGCCATGTTTGACACAAAGAGTCACAGTGCAACTTTATGACCATAGCTCAATTAGGTCTCATTTAAATACTGATGGAGACCTACAGGATACTATTCATGACATACTTGTTAACAAAACAAATCTACTAGCATCATCTACATGCAAAAAAAGGCTGAAAATAATGGAAGACTTATTAATAAAAACAAAAAGACAACACTTAATAATATCAACTATGAACATGGAAACAATATCTTGACTATATTTTGAAAATTAAACATTATGCAAACACATGCAGCAATCTATTTCTTGCTAACAGTTAATATATTTCAACCTTGAAAATAGCTAAATACATAGCCGAAAGTGCTCGGATAAAAAGAATAATTGAACTGTTGACAAAGATGAAACAAAACTAATGCTTTTAAATAACTATATAATTAAATTTGAAACATGGTAATTCCTGTGTACCGAAGAAACCATATTTTTAAATCAGTTAATTTATAATATTTATCTTCTGTAAATTTACATTGAGCACTGTTTTGTAAAAATAAAAGTATCAATAAGAACACCGGATTACATATCTTACTGTTCTTTCTTTTCAATAATATATATATATATATATATATATATATATATATATATATATATATATATTGATGTGGGGCCAAAGTCGGGACCACAGAAGGAAAAAACACGGAACACGGATTAGATGTAAGAAAGATGTATTAACAACAGGTTACAGAGATAATGTAAGAGGAGCTTATTATAAGTTAGTGTCCAACACTGGTACTCGTACGCAGCTCTCTCTGTGTCTCTCCAGAGTATTGTGTCGCATACGTAATATAGACCTGGAAAGAGTCTATTGTGTAGGTAGTTCCGGTCTCACAATATATATATATATATATATATATATATATATATATATATATATATATATATATATATTGATTTCATTAAATAGTATAGACAAGTCTATTTTATGTAAATTCCTTTCATATCGTCTAATAAGCTTAATAACATTATCATTAAACGAAGAAAGAAAATCACAATATTGATACATTTTTTAATCCTATCTAAGCTTTCGATTTACATAAGCCATTATCAAAGATGACAATTGCATTACAATATATTAAGCAATACACAGACAAAACAGTGATGAGTGCCTGTTTCTGTTTACATGGATGATTTCCAAGCAACGACAAAATCGTGCATACGAGACGCTAGACGCAAAAATCGCACAGCAGCTCATGACGTCACACATGACCACGCGAGAGTGAAAACGAGAAGTGTTGGTATAAACCAATGGCTTCTGTTACTAATTATAGGCATTTAAGAATATTTGTGGAGATTTCATACTTTATTTTGTTCAGGTTAGGTTTCAACTGTTTTATGTATATAGCTTCAAGAATTTTTAGTTTTTGTTTATTGTTTTCATGTTTAAGTATAGTTGTTTTTTCAACAAGGATTTTCCGGAATTGTGTACGAGGCCAGGCATGTTGTTTTAAGTGCCTAAAAATGTTAGAGTTATCATTCAAATGTAGAGTCAAGCGTCATGAAAGCGAGTTTGTGGTGTGACCAACATATATATATATATATATATATATATATATATATATATATATATAGAGAGAGAGAGAGAGAGAGAGAGAGAGAGATAGAGAGAGAGTAAAAGAGAGTGAGATGCATCTATTGATCTCTAAATAATGAATTTTTGTTTTCATTCTTATTGATGACTTTTTATTTACTGTAGTCCAAACGTTTTCCCGTCGGTTGTACGCTATTGGCAATGATTACCTTGTTCCTTGATAATCAATTTTAGCACGCGTACTCTCATGCATTTGATTTTGTCTGTTTGTGAACTTTGCCATTTTTAGGTCGGCAATGGTTGTCTTCATTGATCTACTGTTTGTTTTTTATTAGATTTCTCCATGTTGCCACGAGGCGTCCTTTGTGTTCTTGTCTTGTTCTTTAATTAATTCTAACTAGTATGAGATCCATGTGTCGTGTCATACGTGATTGTTTCTTTAATGCGCTCACAGGAATTACTCAGGTGTATGTTATTTTTTTTTTAATTTTCAAAATAAGTAGAAATTGAATTCTCTGTATTTATATTTGAAATAAGAAATTAATGCACTACACGATGAACCCGGTAAATCTGTAGACAAATCCAGGGTAATAGAAGTTTTTATTTGATCTTGCGATATTTCAGGATTTTGATTTCTTTCATCAAGCACAGGTTTAGTTTTTAAGTTCAATTTTATGTTGAATTTAAAAACTAAAATCTATGGACAAATATTTAACCTCCAAACTGGGTTTAAAATACTATGAAAGTGTAAAAATAGGTATTAATACCAGAAATAATTTATAAAAAATTATTACCAGCTGTAAATTTTTGAAGAAAAAATATTACCAGCAATAGATTATTACCAGAAATATATTTTAGAAAAAATATTACCAGCTATATATATATATATATTTTAAAATATTACCAGCGATACACTTTTGAAAAAAAAATGTATTACCAGCAATAAAAATCTTGTCGGCATTAAATAACCCATTGAGGTTGATATACCTTAAAGCAAAACAAACCAAATCAAACCGTAACCAAATATCATATCACATGTCTTTGTTAGATTCATGAAAAGTAATATTGTGGTTCCTTATGTTTTTAAAACAATAGCAAAGAATCCAACGGAAGGCCTCTCCTTGTAACATTAGTTTAATTGTTTTTTTGTTTTCGTTTCGTTTCCGTGCGTCACGGCTGACATTCAAAAGTAAAACTGTCATTTTTAAGAGTGGAAAAAGGTACCTACTGATCTCCATAAAAAGTTTATCATCATATATCAAAGTTTAAGCTTCAACCTTCTTTTCCTGACGTTCCTTTCTTGTTAATTACTTTTATGATTGAAATTTAAAGTTATTGAGTAGAATACTTTAATGAATACAAGCAACAACTTTCAATTCTCCCTACTTAA